AGCAGGTGCCAGGTTCCCAAATTTTCATACCTCAATGTCCTCTGTGTCTTGTCTGATCTCTCTACCCACCTCCCTCCCCACCTGGCTGGCTCAGTCAGGGCTGGGGGAAGGATCGTGCTCCAGGCCACAAGCACTGTGCCCTCCAGGCTGTTTCTTGTCTCAGGGAGGGCCTCCAGGGTCCTGAAGGGAGGGGCCTCTGGGCAGGGAAGCACTGCCAGAGGGACAGTGTTGGGTGCAGACTCCCAGCCCTGTCCACAGTCTCCCGGCCGGCCTCTTTCTTGACCTCACTTGTGGTGACGTATCTGGCCTGAGCATGAAGCGCGCCCAGGAACTGGCTATGGCTGTGAGGCAGAAGAACATCACCCTCCAAGTGAATCAGGTCGGTCCCTCCATGGTCTGTCGGTGGGATGAGGGAGACGCACCGTGGCTGGGAAGTTGGTGACTAGTTTCTATGATACCACCGCTCCCCTTCAACCTGACCCAGGATCTCATCCTGGCTGGTGGCTCCCCTCAGAGCTCCTCTTGCCACCTAAGCTGACCACTGGGCGTGTCTCTCTACTGGGCTTCAGATCTCTGGGTGTCTGAATGCCTTCCCCGCCTCTCCGCCCCCCCCCCCCCCCCCCCCCCCCCCCCCCCCCCCCCCGGGCCTGCTACCCTTTATCAAATCTGAGATGACCTTGCTGTCCTTCTGCTGGAGATCTTACCTCATCTTTCAAGGCTCTGTCCTCAAAACATGGTCAATGGTGGCATGACTCAGGCGGGGGTCGGGGGGTGGGGGGAGAGGAAGGTCGGCCTGACTAGCCTATATGGATTCAAGATCAAGGCAAGCTTGTCCCTGGCTCTTGAGGCAGTGGGATGTTCATGCCACAGGCTGTGTGAACAGAGTCAGGGTACGGTGTGTGGCCTGTAGGGTGGATTAGAACTGGCTGCCCCAGGCCATCCTTGAGGGCTGTGGCCGAGAACATTCTGAGCTTCATTGTCCCGGTCTCCTGGCAGCTGCGCTGTCTGGCGCCTCGCCTTCCTAAGTACCTCACCAATGAGGAACTGGATGCCCTCCCGCTGGACCTGCTGCCCTTCCTCAAGTAGGTCTCAAGTTGGGGACTTAGTCTCACCTCCTATATCCTCAACCCCCACCTTGCCCTGGACAACAATGTATAGTGACTGGGTGGCTTTGCCAGGGAGGCAGGCAATGGAGTGTGTGTGTGTGTGTGTGTGTGTGTGTGTGTGTGTGTGTTTACATACACAGTAATCCGCATATCCCCTCTCCATAGCCCAGCCATGTTTCTGGGGCAACAGGCCTGTGCCCACTTCTTCTCCCTCATCTCTAAAGCCAATGTAGATTTGCTCCCACAGAGGTCTCTGGAGCGCCAGAGGCTGCTGCCTGCAGCTCTGGAATGCCAGGTATGGAATGCTGCCATCTACCAGAGGCAGAGACATGGAGTGGGCTCGGTGGTCTCCCTAAGGTACTGAGGCTGGCTGTGTGTGCAGGGCGTCCATAGCTTTCAAGTGAGCGAGGCAGACATACAGGCTCTCGGAGGCCTGGTCTGTGACCTGCCTGGGAAATTTGTGGCCAAATCTTCGGAAATCCTCCTTCCCCGGCTGGCGGGCTGCCGAGGACCCCTGAACCACGGTCAGGAAGAGGCAGTCAGGGAGGCTCTGAGGAGTGGACGATCCCCGTATGGGTGAGTAGGGATGGCTTAGAATATGGACAGAGGGTATCCATTGCCACAGTGGGTTTCCTAGGGCCGCATATCCCCTGCTGGATCCTGTCAGGTCTTGTTCCCCAGGAGGCTGCACTCCTTGACCTGTCAGCAGAGACACTGGCCCAGTTTCTGTCTCCTGAGCTCTGTCTGGGGCCACCTTCTGAGTCCCTGAGCTGGGCCCCTGTCTCTGGACAGCCCCCCATTAAAGTGGTCAGTCTCCACTCTGGACGCTCTGCAGGGCCTGCTGGCAGTGTTGGATGAGTCCATCGTCCATAGCATCCCCAAGGTAAGATCCTGCTGCCTGGCCTGCCGTTGAAGCTCCTGGGCTTTGAGGCTCAGCCTACTATGCTTCATCCGCAGGATGTCATAGCTGAATGGTTGCAACACATCTCCCGAGGCCCCTCCTGGCTGGGGCCTAAGCTGAATGCCATGCTCCCGAGATTCAGGCGGGACACAGCGAGTGAGTCCAGAGCCGTGTCTGTTTGGTAGCAACCTGAGCTAGGACACTAGGGACACGGATCTAGCATTGTAGAGTTTCATTTGCTCCTACCAGTGGCTCTTCCTGGCTCCTCAGCTTGGTCAGTCATAACTTCACAGGGTGAATAGGATTGCACCATTTTATCAGTGGGTAAACGGAGGCCAATGTGTCATGGTAGGTGTGGGAGGAGGGAGAGTTGAGAGGAGCAAACCGCCTCTGACTCTTGCCTGCCCCTCCAGAGAAAGCCTGCCCTCCAGGGCGGGAGCCCCAAAGAGTGGATGAAAACCTCATCTTCTACCCGAATTGGGAGCTAGAGGCCTGTGTGGATGGTGCCATGCTGGCCACCCAGATGGACCTTGTGAATGAGATTCCCTTCACCTATGAGCAACTCAACATCTTCAAGCACAAACTGGACAAGGTAACTCATAACGGGCTTCCATCTGTCTGCTGTGCCCAGGACTGCTTTCCCAACGACCCCAGGAGTTGTTCTGGCCCTCATGGTCCCTTCTTCCATAGACCTACCCACAAGGCTATCCTGAGTCCCTGATCCAGCAGCTGGGTCACTTCTTCCGATACATCAGCCCTGAGGACATCCGCCAGTGGAATGTGACCTCACCAGAGACAGTGAAAACTCTGCTCAAAGTCGCCAAAGGACAAAAGATGGATGCTCAGGTAACATCTGCCCCAGAGGACACGGACAAGGGGATGCATCTTTCCCTGCCCCAAGGTGCCTTAGCGGCTTCTGCCCACAGGTGACTGCCCTGGCTGCCTGCTACCTTCGGGGAGGAGGCATCCTGGACCAGGACATAGTAAAAGCCCTGGATGACATCCCTTTAACCTACCTGTGTGACGTTAGCCCCCAGAATCTGCACTCTATACCCTCCAGTGTCATGTGGTGAGTTTCCGGGGTGCTCTGCAGGGCTGAATGGATACTCAGAGCTTCCTAATCACTGCCATGTCCCCCAATGTTCCCCAGGCTGGTTAAATCCCAAGACCTGAGCGAGTGCAGCCAGAGGCATCTGGGTATCCTCTATGGAAAGGCGTGCTTGGCTTTCCAGAACGTGAGCAGTCAGGAATACTCTGAGAAAATCAGGACATTCCTGGGTGAGTCGAGGCACACACGGGTGGCTACCATGGGGTACTGCAGACCCCACAGTTACATCCAAGTCCTAGCTTCTCCCTGCCCCACCCAGGGCTTCCTAGGCGTATGTGGGATCTGACACTAATGATTTTGGCTCTCCCACCCCTTCTGACCCCGGTGGTTCAGATGGTTGTTGAGTATAGAAGGGCCTGGGCATTAGGAAGAAGACAATCTCTGAGAAACTGAGTACGCTCTATCAGGAGTGGGACTGTATGGTGCTGTGAGTTTTCAAACTGCCTCGAAACCTGCAGGTGGGGCCTCTGCGGAGGACCTGAGGGCCCTCAGCCAGCAGAATGTGAGCATTGACTTAGCCACTTTCAAAAAGCTGCAGATAGATGCCCTGCTGGTAAGTGGAGATGGGAACTCATGAGGGAGGGCTCAAGAGAGGCACTATAGAAAGTGGCCAGGCCTCCTGAGAAAGGCTTGTGGGTGGTTGGGGGTCCTTACAGGGGATGGAGGGCCTTTTGTGGGGTAGAGCCTCAGGAGGAGGGCCTAGTGTAAAGCAGGGGGATAGGAGGGACAAGAAACAGGACCTCATGAGCAGGGGGTGGTCCTTATGAGGGAGAAGTTTGGACAGGATCTGCTGGAAGAGGTGTGGCCTCACAAGGGGCCCCTTGTACATAGGGGCTGAGGTATCATGGGCTGCAATTTACTCCAACCTTCTGGGGGGCCTAGAGACCCTGATGGCTACCTCATGCTCTGGCAGGGGCTGACTGTGCCTGAGGTCCAGAAACTTCTAGGGCCACACATTGTGGGCCTGAAGACTGAAGAGGATAAAAGCCCTGTCCGTGACTGGATCTTCAGGCAGCGGCAGGAAGAGCTGGACAGGCTGGGTTTGGGGCTTCAGGGTGGCATCCCCAATGGCTACCTGGTCCTGGACCTCAATGTCCGAGGTGAGCTGGGCTGCCCAGGGGCAGAGCTGGGGGATGGAGTCAGGAGTCTGAGTGGCCTTCTCTCCTTGCAGAGGCGTTTTCCAGTGGAGCCCCATTCCTTGGACCAAGATTTGTACTTGCATGGATTCCAGCTCTGCTCCCAGCTTTAATACCGAGCTGAGACCACCACCCCTAAGGCTCCTGGCTCCAGCCCTACTGTGGAGCCCCATCTTGACCAGGATCAGGTCCCAGGGGTTATTGCCAAAGTTTGAGGACTCTTGAACTCAATAAACAGTAGCATTGGCCCCTTGAGATGTCCTGTAGTGTTCCTAAGACCAGTCAATAGAATGACGCTGAAGCTTCTTGTGACCACAGAATCACATAAATACAGATCCCTGTGTTCATCCCTTCCACTCTCTTAGAAAGAAGGATGGGGGCTGGAGAGATGGCTCAGCAATTAAGAGCACTGGCTGCTCTTCTAGAGGATCCCAGTTCAATTCCCAGGACCCATATGGCAACTCACAACTGTCTATAACTCCAGCTCCCGGGATTTGATGCCCTCACACAGACACACATGCAGGCAAAACACCAATGTACATAAAATAAAATAAATATTAAAAAAAGAGGGATGAAAGTGGACCCCCAGGCAGGTGGTAGCTATTCAAGGCCTTCCTGATGGGATTGCTGCCATCTCCAAGGTAGTGAAAATCCTGAGACCCCAGCCGAGGGATGTGGGAGGCCACCACAGTCTGGGCCCTGCCAAAAGGATTCTGTCCCCAACAAGGCCCTAGCAGAGACACAGGCTGTACAATAGCCTTGTGCTTTATTCAGACCCACCAGGGAAGGCAGTAACATTGAAGGGGCACCAAGTTCCACTTGTCTTGGAATAGGCCAGAAGGTCTGGCACCTGTCTCCTCCTATCAGCCCGCTCTTGTGGCTGGGCAGGTCTTATTTCCTTACGGGCCCAGGTCCTGGGAGCTGAGGTGTGTGCCAAAGCCAGTCTCCTAGGATGGAGAACACAGCAGGTCCCCTGGGGCCTGGGACATGTACTTCAGCCTAGATGGGTGTCTTGTTCCATCTAGCAGCTCCGTTGCTTCTGTAGCTGATGTTCAGTGGTCTGACTGCCCTGGGTCAGAACCATTGGCAGTGTCCAGGGTTTTAGTGTCCTGTGAGCAGCGCCTATTGGTCCTGAAGGTGTAGCAACCACAAGTAGCTGGACACAGTACAGCCACAAGAGACTGGAAGGCAGAGCCACAGCGAGTGACAGGTACCCCGGATGAACTGGAGGGCTTCCTGCAGGTGGAACAAGGAAGGGACCCATTAATCCTGATTAGAAGAAACCCCCCCCAGTCCCATCTGTCATCCTTCCCTTAGTGATGGTGACAGCTAGGAGGGTCAGTGAGGACCCCGCCCATGGCTGCTCTTCTGGTCTCAGCCTCGTCCCTTTTTGTGGTTTGGTTTTTTGGGGGCATTTGTTTTGTTTCTGTGGTGTTGGGGATTGAACCTGGGTCTTTGCACTTGGCCAGGCAAGTTCTTTCCACTGAGCTGCATCCCAGCTCTCCTTGCCCCCATAAATATGTGTGTGTATATAATATGTGCACACACACACACACACACACACACACACACACACACACACACACACACACACACACGTTTCCCAGGCTAGCCTTAAACTTTCTCTGAAGCTCAGGAAGTTCTTGAACTTGCAGTCCGTCTTGGTCTCCTGAGTAGCTGGCCCTTGGCTCTCATTTAATGGGTTTTGGAGGAGGTAATTGTATCACTGTAGATGGTTCATCAGGCAATGACCTGTGACACATGGCAGACCCCTCAGGAGGCAAATAAAAGGCAGGGACAGCCAGAGGTCTGCTAAGGATGGGAACAAGGGGTGTGGACCATACCTGAGGCGGGGGCAACGCCATCATTCCCAGGCAGATTCAAGGTATGGATTAAATCGGATGGTGGGTAGGCAGTGTTGGGCGGCCTGTTGGTCACATAGGCCAGGGGGGGGCTGGTGTCCAGGCCCATCCCAGACAGGTCTGACATGTTGTGGTTGTGCATCCACAGGACGACATTTGGATGGTTGCGGGCCTTCTGCAGGTCCCCCACATTCTGGCCCAGCAGACTTCTCACATTGTCCACACTCAGGTTCTGTAAATGAAGCCAGGGGTTTTGGAGGGAGGTGTGAGGATCCATGGGGCTGCCTTCCTTACTCAAGGACCCAGCAAGGTGAGTGCTGCTCCTAGGACTGAGCAGGACGAGGACTGTGAGGCACAGAGGTCACATGCCATCTGTACTCCTCAGGCTTTGGCACATACGGGTCTGAGACCTGGGGTTCCCAGCTTGGCCACCCCCACCCTGTCTGCCTACTACAGAGGCAGACTTCGAGCCAGGCATTGCGGTATATGTCACAAACCCCAGCACTCAAGACTCTGAGGCAGGGTGATTGTGAGTTCCAGGCCAGCCTGGGCTACAGAGTAAGACCACATCTCAACAAAACAAAACAGAGGTATCCCCTGGGCCCACCTTCAACATGAAGGGGTTGAGGTTGGTGAACGTATCAATGTCCATAGAGATGTTGGCCTGGGCCAGGTATTGAAGTTCCTCCAAGGGAGCACCACCTAGAGAGATCAGTGGTGAGGGACAGAGAGGCAGAGGACTTGTGTGTGTGTGGGGTGACACACGGCAGAGGTAGGGGCGTATTAAGGAGAGGCAGAGGACTTAGGGGAGAGATGTCACAGTGCAGGGCTCACCGAGGTAGGGGCGTATTAAGTAGTAGTATTCTCCCACAGTACTGGTGTTCCTAAAGACCTCATGAGCCTTGGCAAAGAGCACATCCTTCCGACTCTGAGGGCAGGGAGAGATGTCTGGAGCCCCAGCCAGCCTGAGTAGGATGAGGCAGATGAGTAGGCTGGAAGCCCCTTGACCTGGACCACTGAGCGTAGCCTCTACCCCTTGAAACACAGATTTCTTCTTGGCCCCTGTACTGGGTGAGAGTATAACCCCCCCAAATTTAAACCCATCTGGTACCTCAGAAAGTGCCTTTATTTGGAAATAAGAAACCCTTGGCAGATGAAATCAGAGTAGAAGATGAAGTTCCACTGGGTGAGGTTAGCCTAAATTCCTCATGTCCTTATGACAAGCCGGGCTTTTGGATACAGACACACAGGTAAGAGCAAGAAAGGCCTTCCTGTGAGGTTCCGAGGGGCCTGGCCCTGCAGACATTCTGACTCTGTATTCTGGCTTCTAGAAGTCCTAGAGAATATATTTCTCATTTGAAGTCACTCAGCTTATGATATTTCCTTTTCTTCCTTTTATATTTTTATCATTTTTTATATTACTTATGTGTGTGTGCACATGTGTGTGGGCATCACAGCATATGTTTGGAGGTCAGAGGAGAGCTTGAAGAAGTCAGTACTTGCCTTCAACTGTGTGGGACCCAGGTTGATCGAACCTGGGTTTTGAGACTTGGTGGCAAGCACCATCACCCTCTGAACCGTCTTGCTAATCCTCTTTGTGTGCATATTTGTGTGTGTGTGTGTGTGTGTGTGTGTGTGTGTGTGTGTGTGTGTGTGCACACGTGTGTGCATGTGTGCAGGCCAGAGGCTGACTTCGGGTGTCTTCCTCAATACCAATTTTTGGGGACATTGGCCTGGGACTCATCGTTTCAGCTAGACTGATGAGCTAGACTGGCTGAGCAGCAAACCCAGGGCTCTTCCTGTCTCTCTTTCCCCAAGCTGGCAGTCCAGGTGTGGCTGTCAGTGCCAGCTTTTTATGCTGTGTGCTGGAGAGCTAAACTCGGGTCCCTGGGCTTGTGCTGGAAGCACTTTACTTAGTCGAGCTGTGTCCCTTGCCATTTGTGACATTTTCTTGTGGTGGTCCAACGTGGCTCTGATGGCCTGGCATGGACCATTCCACCACCTCTCCCCAACCTCAGTTTCCCCTATGCCTCTTGCTGGGAAGGTGATTGATAGGGAGGCTCACCGGAACTCTGAGGGCTGGATGATCTGGATCTGCTTGAGGCTCATCCAGCAGAGACGGGAGCCCCCGATGGCCACCAGAAGAGCACCAGTAACCTTGCCGTTATGGTCCAAGAACTTCTGTAGAACTGCCTAGAGGCAGGGCCGGCGTTAGTGGGCCTGGGCAAACCAGACCAGCCAGCTTCAGCCCCATTGCCAGCCCTCACCATCCTCACCTCTGTCTGGTTCTCCAGAGCTGCATCTGAGGCCAGCAGGACCATCACTGTGTCTCCAGATGTGATGTTCCACTGGCCTATTTCAGCGAGGGAGTAGAGGTAGACCAGCGAGGTGATGAGGTGCAGCTGGTCCTCAGGGATGCCGTGTGGGTAGATCTGAGGCGGGTGGGCAGTTTGAGTTGGAGCCGAGCCCTCGAGCCGCCACCCCAGACTGACCATCCACACACCTGAGCGAGCTTGGCTTTGACAACACGCTGGCACTCTGCAGGCAGGGGGTGCTGCAGTAAGGGGTCCAGGTTGGCCCTGAGCACACGTGTGCCCAGACAGGACTCCAGCTGGGTACAGTCGTAGTGCACCAGGAAGAGGTCATCGTGCAGGGTGGCTGCTGTGATGTTGCCACGGACACAGGAGCTCCCTGCAGGGTGTGCTGGTGAGCAGGCTGGCAGGTGACGGCCTGAGCTGACAACTTGCTGCCTTTGGGACCCTTCTTTGACCCTGGCCTCCACTTTTTTTCTTGTTTGCTTTCGGGGGACAGAGTCTTGCTATGTATCCTAAGCTGACCTCAAACTTAAGACCCTCCTGGCTTGGCCCCTTAAGCCTACCATGCTCGGCCCCCTCTACTTCCGATTTAACCAGACCTCCTTGACTTGCTCATCATTCTTGGTGTCTAGCCAAGAGCTTGGCCCAGACTAGGCTAAAATTAGGAGTCCAGACTGAGGGAGGCATAGTGTCCCAGGTCCACCCTGATCACACTGACCTGTGCGCCTCTTGAGCCTTGAGGACACGGAATCGGCCTTGGACTCCAGGAAGTTGGTGACGAAGCGCCTGGCGTCACGCCTGCTCAGCTGACCTGCCCGGTAAGCAGCCACCACACTGCGGAAGAAGTCCAAGCCCACAGCCTGGCAGGGCCAAGTGTGTCCATTCCCAGTCATAGGAAGGGCCAGCCTAGTCACTCCCTCTGCCCCACCGGCCATGTGTGCTGTGACAGGAGCACCCAGGGCCACCACTCAATGCTCAGAGTGGCTGTGTGGCACTCATAGTCCTGGATGGACTGGTGGTGCCCACAGCCAGCCCCACTCCAGGTACCTTCCTACCTCCTGCACCTTCTCCCACAGGTGGGGGCTGATGTAGGTGGCCAGAGGTCCCAGGGCCTGCAGCCCCTCCAGGTTCCAGGAGCCAGGAGGCCTGGTGCATGGGAAAGGGTGCAGTGTCGGAGTCTAACATGCCACCCCATCCCCTAAAGCAGGCTGGAAGAATATTCATAGGCTCCTAACTCCCGGCCAGTGCCCACAGATTTGGGGATTTGTCCTGCTGTGAACCCCAGGTGGTGGGAAGCACCCTTAACCCTGTGCCTCCATGCCTCAACCTGCAATGTCAGAGTGGGGTGGGGGCTGGAGTCAGAATTCAAAGAGCAAAGACTGTAGGAAGGCCTCACTGCCACCCTGAGTTCAAACCTCAAGCTCCCTCCCCTCTTATCTCAAGGAAGGAAACCCCTCTAACCTCCCTGGTCCCGCCTCCCCCGATCCCTGGAACCCTCCACGTACCCAATTTGTGTCTTCCCACTGGCCAGCAGGGTGTTGAGGGCAGTAGTCTGCATGACAGTTAGCTTTGGGCATCGAAGCAGGTTCTTCAGCACATGAGGGTCTGCAGCCACGATTTGGGGTGCCTCCATGTCACATACCAGGACCCCGAGAAGCCCCAGGTCTGAGGCACTGAGCTGTAGGTGGGGTTTCCCCTGCAGGGACAGAAGGTCAATGCTAAACAGATGACCTGGCCTCGCTGCCCAATCCTGTTCTCACTTGAGGCACCTACCAGACAGGCCAAGGCTGTGTGCTGTAGGGCAATTCTCTGGTTGGGCAAGTTGGCCAGCAGTTCTGTGTCTCCTTGGGCAACATGGTGAATGAAGGCCCGGCAGTTGGTGTCCCTCACCTGGTTCAGACTGAAGTGGAGGGATGTCAGGGAGGCAATTCTGGGCCTCCCACCAGCCTTCCCAGTGTCTCCAGGGTGGCCCAAGACCAGAGGAGGTAGCCCGACCACGCCTGGCAGGCACCGAAATGATGGAGAGGCCACAGCAGGGACACTCACTCGTAGAAAAGCAGGAGGTTGGGCGGGTGGAACTCAAAGTCGTCCTGGAGGCCTTGCCGTGCAGCGAGGTTGGCCAAGCAGCTGAGCTGAGCAGGGGCAGAGGTTGGAGAGCAGGTCACCGTCTGTCCAGTGTGGACTGGCCCTGGTGGGACACTGCTCAGCCCCTCCCCCGCTCAGCAGAAGGCACACTTTAGGAAGGAACTGGAGATAACGTGTGAGGAAAAACCTGCAGTATCACAGAGATAAGAATGCAGACGGAGAAACAAGGCCTGAGACAGGTAGTCCCGAGAGAGGCAAGTGGACAGACTGCAGTTAAAAGCCAGAGATAAGCCAGGCGCACTTTCAATCCCAGCATTCTGGATGCAGAGGCAGGTGGATCTCTGTGAGTTGGATGCTAGCATGGTCTATAGAGTGCATTCCAGGGCAACCAGGAGGCCTTGTCCCCCCACCCCCACCCCCAAAAAATCCCGAGATGTTCAAATTAGCTCTGTAGTCACTCAACTGTGTTCACGTTATAATGCCCATCTAAGATGATGGCCACGGATATTAAACGTAGGTCAGCTTTGCCTAGAGACTGTTGATTCTCTTTTTTCCTTTGTCCATCCATCTGCCCATCCTTCCTTCCTTCCTTTCCTTCCATCTGTCCGTCCTTCCTTCCCTCCCTCCCTCCTTCACAGGGGTTTCACTGTGTAGCCTGTCTGACCGTGAACTCAAGACTCTCTTGAGTACCAAGATGACTGGCATACAACATCATGCCTGTTCTGAACACTTGTTTCCATGTCCCTGTGTGGGTGTTGACGGATTCTGCCTTTCAGGGAACTGGTTCATTTCATCCAAGGTGTCACACCTGTGTGCACAGATAGACATTTCTTTCCAATCCCTTTATTTTCAAGGGACATGCAACAAATGGCCCTTGCTTGTTTTCACTACCAGCAATTTGTGTCTCCCCGCTTTCCGATGGCCAGACTAGGGGCTCTTCACCTTTTCACAGAGTGGCTTGTGGCACTGACGACTTCCTTCCAGCTTCATTCATTCTTACTGCCAGCGTTCATCTTTCCATCTCTTCTTTTAGGTTTCTTCCCCTGGCTTCCCGATAGGAAACTACACCACTGAGTTCAGATATTTTCTTTTAACATTACAATTTTTTTCTTTATTGTGGTGGTGGTGGTGGGGTTGCATACATGCTGTGGAGTGCACATGGAGGTCAGAGGACATTTTGCGGGAGACGGTTCTCTCTTTCCATCGTCTGGGTTCTGGGATCAAACTCAGGTTGTCAGACCCAGCGGCAAACCCTGCAAGCAGGACCTACACCTTTCTGTTTTCTAACACACACATTCAAAGCTGTAGCCAGCCACTGTGCTCACTGCACCCCGCAGGTTTTGATAAATTTCCTTTCTTTTCTAGACAGGGCGTCACTCTAGCTCAGGTGTCTCCGGAGTGCTGGGGTGACAGTATACACCAGCACGGCGGCTATATTTTTATTTTCATTTAGCTCACAATGCTTGTGACAATTGTCTTGATGCCACATGTGGTAGTGCACACCTGTAATCCAGCCCTTGGAAGGCAGAGGCAGGAAGACCAAGAGTTGAAGTTCAGGGCTGCGGGCTGGCGCGGTGGGTAAGTGGTCAGGAGAACTTGAGTTTGGTTCACAGCGCTCACATGGTGGCTAACAACTGTCTGTAACTCCAGTCCCAGGTGATCCAACGCCGTCTTCTGGCCACCTCGGGCACTTCACACATACATGGTACACAGATATGTGTGCAGGCAAAACACCCATATATATTACACTTTAAAAGAAAAAGAGTTAAGATCATCCTTGGCTACACAGTGAGTTCAAAACCAGACTGGGATACATGAGACCATCAGAAAAAAATCTTGAGAGTTATTTGGCCCAAGTATTATTTAAAAGTGTGTGCATGGGCTGAAGAGATGGTTTAGCAGTTAAGAGCATTGGCTGCTCTTCCAGAGGTCCTGGGTTCAATTCCCAGAACCCACATGATGGCTCACAAACATCCATAACTTCAGTTCTGAAGCATCTGACACCCTCTTCTGACGTCTTTGGGCACCAGGTACGCATGTGGTGCACATACATGCAGCAAAACAGCAATACATATAAAATAAACCTTTTTTTTAAAGAGTGTGTTGCTCAATTCCCAAGTATTTGAGAGTCTTCCATCTGCCTTTCTGCACCTGATTTCTTGTTCAAGTTCATTGTGCTCCGAGAACAGGTACTGGATGCTGTCGACACTGTAAGTTTGGGGAAGGTGGATCTTAGAGCCAGTGCTGCGTCTGTCTTGGTAAGAAGAAGCATGCGTTCTGTTGTTGTGCACACATATCAGCTCCATGGACCTGAGATGCTGCAAGAGCTCTTCGTGGCTTTGATTCTGGCTGCTGCACCTGTCCTGTCCTGACAGGCAGCGAACACCACTGACTATCACAATGGATTCACCTGTTTCTTGTTGGTTCTATCAGTTTGTGTCATGTGTATCTGGACACTTTGAGGTTAGGTGTACACATGTTAAGGATTATGTTGAAAAAAAAAATAGATGAGCCAGGTGGTGGTGGCACATACCTTAATCCCAGCACTCAGGAGACAGAGGCAGGAGGATCTCTGTGAGTTCGAGGCCAGCCTGGTCCACAGAGCGTGTTCCAGGACAGGCTCCAAAGCTACACAGAGAAACCTTGTTTCGAAAAACAAAAGAAAACAATAACAACAACAAAAATAGAGGCACTTTCTACACAGTTCAGACTAACCTCTAACTTTGTCCCCCTGCCAAAGCCCCTCAGGCGCAGAGGTTAAAGGCCCCTGCCACAGTGTCTAGCTCTTTCCTTCTGTTAACGAGGACAGGAGATGTTGGTCAGATATAGAGCCAAGTGAGCTCAACAGGCTCCTGCAGCCCCAGCTAGGAGAGAGGCCAATGGGGTTCAAGATCCTCCCTCATGAGCCCTGGGGCTGGACCACCCCAAGGAGGCATCACCTCCTAGACGAACCCAGGGAGGGGCCTGAGGCAGTGGACAAGCCCTCGACCATTTCAAGTCAAGGCAGAAGCACCCTGTAGACAGATTTGCTGGAACCTGCTAGAACTACCCAATGTGGGTGTTCATGCAGATCACCCTCTAGGGGAAGAGTCGCCTCAGAAGGGCCAGACTTCTTGTCACAGTGGGGCCACCAAAAAGTCACATTCTAGGGGCTAGAAAGACGGCTCAGTGGTTAAGAACACTGCCTGCTGTTTCAGAGGACCCAGGTTCAATTCCCAGCACCCACATGACAGCTCATACCTGTCTGTAACTCTAATTCCAGGGAATCTGACACCTTCACACCAATGCATATAAAATAAATTTAAATAAATTATTAAAACACAGCAACAACAAAAAGTCACCTTCTAGGTGGTTTTGAGGTTGGCAGGATGACTTGGAGACAGCCCTCTGCTTCAGGGAAGCTGTGCGCCAACCCCCAAGTCCTCACACGGCTGCCCCTCCTCGACCTGTGTACGCTCTAGTGTCCTGGGGAGCACGCAACCCTGTGCTCTCTCTACCCCGGAAGCACTCACCTGCCAGGCTTTGAGCGGGACCCTCTGCGAAGCCAGGTTTCTGATTAAAGTGGAGAGCTCTTCCCGGGGTAGCTGGCTGGCTGGCAAGCACCAAAAGTTCTGCAGGAGGGAGGTGTTGTCCCTGTGTAGGAGGAGGGGACCATGCTGGATCCAAAGGGGAAGACCCAGGAAGGAAGGCTTTGGCTACTGCAAGGGGGACTTGATCACTCAGCTTTCTCCACCGCGGAGGGAGTAAGAGGCAGGCAGTGGCTGCTTCGGGTAAGATTATTCTCTTCCCTTCTCTTCCCTTCCTACCCCTTCCTCTCCTTTCCTTCTTCTTCCTTTCCTTTCCTTCCATCCATCCTAGAGGACCTTCCTAGAGCCAGGCTGTCAGCTGGATGGGGCTTTAACATGGGTCTTTGCCATCACTTCTGGGGCTCAGGCTCAGCTGACTTTGAGCTCAGGCTTGGACTAGTCCTGATAGCTGCTGAAGAATATGGGGTCACATGGGTGAGGCCATCTTCTGGACCTTTCTCAGGGTGTAACATAAAGTCTACCTATCGGGTTGGGAGGGTGTCTCCGATACTAACTCAGGCTTGGCCAGATCTACTTGGGATCCTGGGCCTGCCTGACCAATCATCACATTAACTAACTGGTCCATTGATGATCATCACTCCAAGAAATGGGGGAACGCCAGGCGGTGGTGGCGCATGCCTTTAATCCCAGTACTCAGGAGGCAGAGCCAGGCAGATCTCTGTGAGTTTGAGGCCAGCCTGGTCTACAGAGTGAGATCCAGGACAGGCACCAAAACTACAGAGAAACCCTGTCTTAAAACACCAAAAAAAAAAAAAAAAAGAGGAAAAGAAAGAAAATGGGGAAACATTCAAGCCCAGGCTGGAGAGCCCAGGACAGAAAGAAATGACTAAGCTAAAATGATTTGGGGAATAGCAATGGCCTTGAAGGCCCTGGGCCTGGCCCAAGAAGTAAGGGGCGATGACCTAGAGCTCCAAGGGGGGAACCTGGGGGACACTGGCTGAGGTTGCAAGTCTCTGATGGTTGAGGCTTCTTCTTCTTCTCCTTCTCCTTCTTCTTCTTCTTTTTTTTTTTTTTGGGGGGGGGGGCGTTTCGAGACAGGGTTTCTCTGTGTAGCTTTGGTGCCTGTCCTGGATCTCGCTCTGTAGACCAGGCTGGCCTCAAACTCAGAGAGGTCTGCCTGGCTCTGCCTCCCGAGTGCTGGGATTAAGGGCGTGGGCCACCACTGCCCGCCAAGGCTTCTTGTGAGTATGTCCACATATTTGGCTGGTCAGGGACTTGCCAGCATATAACTGACACTGGACCCTGGGAGCGGGCCAGCAAGTGGTGCTGAAGTCAGGCTAGGCCCCCTAGGTCCAAGCTGGCGAACAGTGGCCCTGTCTGGACCTTATGTGCAGATTCTGGACACAGTCCCTCCCCTGGACCACCAACCGAGCACTCAGGCTCACTCCTCCTCTCCATGCCCTGTCACAGAAAAGCATTTGCTGGACTTGGGTTTTGCTCACCTGACCCACGTGTTGGCTTCACTAGCATTCAGCCCTCCCTTGGGGAAGCCCTTAGTCTGAGGTCCAGAGCAGTGGGCAGTGAGCGACAGAAGGAGGGCGAGACCGGGACTCGCCAGGGTACCTGCAACAGAATGGCAGTGAGGGCATGCATGAGTGGGGGCTCCCTGTGACCTCCTCAGCCACAGCTCCTCCTAAAACGGAGGACCTGGAGGAGGCTTGCAGAGCTGTACCAGTTTCTGTGCGCACAGCCTGGATCTGCACGTGCTATGTGTCTTCTGGTACAAGTGTGCACACATTTTCTGGTGTGTGCCTGTGTGTAAGTGCCTCCCTGATGGTTGCTCTGTGTACTCATCATCTGAACACTGAGACCCTAAAACTCAGAGACAGGGGATTGGCTCCCTAGTCTTCAAAGCCCCTTGTTTCTGTAGTGGGACATGAAAGGGCCTCCCAGTCCAGGAGGAGGGGGTTTGTTTCCAGGGATGCTTCTCTCGTGGCTCAGAGCAGAGGCACAGCAAAATCTCCTCTGCAGCAGGACGGGGCCTATGGAAGATGGCGGCTATACTCGGATGTCCTTTGTGGACTGCTCACCTCCCTGCCTCCTTGAGGCCTGGCCTGGTTTATGCTGGGACTACCAAAGAGGACTTGGTCTATGTCCTGCTGCCTAGACCAGTGGTGGCTCCTTCGGTCACAGCCCTGCCCGGTCCTTACTAGGACCCCCCCAGGCCTGTGTTGATAGGACTGTACTTCCAACACTTTTTTGGAGCACACTAGCTGGCCCTGTGTCCAGGGGGCCTCCCTCTCCTCCCTTCCCTTGCAGCAGGTCCCCAAGTTTGAGTTCATGTGGAGGGGGTGGCTAGAGCCTGAGGAATCCCCTACCTCTGCAGCACTATGATCCACAGCCACCCAAGGGCCTAGGGCATCCCCTTCTGCATAGAAGTGTTTTCTCACCCACTCTGGAGCCCAGGGCTGACTGTCGGAGAGTCCTAATCATCCCGGCTGGACCGTCTCAGGGCAGGGAAGCCCGAAGGCTGTGGGTTGTAGGTCCAGGCCTAGCTGGAGATGAGGCAGGGAGTGACTCAGGTTAGCTTCACGGCAGATGGAAAGAAGGACAGAAAGAAGAGAAAGAGAAAGCCAGCATCAACATCTTGCAGGGTGCCTGACCCTGTCTGGGGAGGAAAACAACCCCGCAAACAAGCGTCACAACGACAGGGAGCAGCAGGGGAGGGGAGCTAGTGAACCTGGCCTTTCTTATCGCAGGTCGGGCCCCGGGGACCCACGGGTGCACTGTCTCCAATTAGCAGATCTCACAAACAGCAAATCTCCCAGGCAGTGGGGGAGAGGGCCCCCACACCTTGTGGCCCAAACCTCAGACATCGGCTGTGTCTGAGTTCTAGAAGGCAAGAGGGGGCCCAGCCAGAGCTGTTGGACCGCCCTGAGCCACTGATTTCCCCAGCCCTGCGTGGGGACACGGTACGATGATTTTTGGGCCCTGTGACTTTCTGACTCAATGTGGCCCAAGAGGCACACAGGGAGGTTACTGCCCTGTGTAGGGGGCAAACCAGGACCAGATGCCCAGCAGCCTGCCACACTGTGATCTGGTTGGTTTCTTCTGTCCTACCTTACCTGAGCAGGAATGTGGTCTCTGGTAGTGGAGGTGATGTCCAGGGCCCAGGGAGGAGGCTACTCCTGGCCACACGGCCACAGGATAGAGTAGACCAAGTGTTCCAGATGCCAGCGATCCAGGCTCAGCTTCTGTCAATCCTTGCAGCTGAGCCCCAGGATGCAGGATTGATGTAGGCAGAGCTGCTATGGTTTCTGCTCATCTGCATGCCTGGCCCAGTAGACAGCATGGGACGGCCCCGCCTAGTCAATCCACCCTGCCAGTGACACCTGCCAGGGAGGCCTGTGGGGAGGAGACTAGACTGTGCCAGGTGATGCTTGTATCAGCCTCTCGGGCCCCAGCACAGCAAGCACCTGCTCTTAGCCCCAGGAGAAATTCAGGCTGAGCTTGGGCTGAGCTCAGGCTTGGCAGGCACCCAGCACACACCCTCCCCTTGAGGCCCAGCCTTATTCAGGGTGTGAAGGGCAGCAGCCTGAATTCATGTGTGTCGGCGTCTCTGTGCACAGAGGTGTCTGTCCTTCTGCACATTCTGTGCAGCCCTAGAGCTTCCCTAGTCAAGCTGTCCCCACACAGGACATTAGGCACACAAGACAAGTACGGTGGCCGGGCATGGCCATTCTTTGGGTGCTAAATCACAGTGCCATGTAGACGTGAGGGCCGTGGGACAGAGCGAGCATGCAGAGAGGCATATATTGGACACCCATTCCAGCCTCTGGATCTACTTAGGGCCTGAAAACTGCTGCCAAGACCTCAGGGACACAATGATTATCGGCACCAGTGCCAAGATGATGGCTCCACCAGGCAAGTCTCAGAAGTGGCCGGGTAAGAGGGAAGTCTGCAAGGGGGATTTCCCAGCCTACCTGCTGGGAAGCTGCCTCTGGGCTGAAGTGTAGGTCCTGACTGTCCCAGGCTGAGCCCTGGCTCCTGGCACTGGCCATGGGCCTACTTGAAGCTCTTACTTTGGAAGGGGCTGTGGAGGGCAGGAAGGCTTCAGGTCCTTGAGGCCCTGAAGTGTGGGTCTGGAGCTACATTATCACTGCACTCAAAATATCAGGTGACCAGCAAGCTGGCTTTGCAGTCCATGTGAGGCTGGCAGCTGCAGTAACAGCAGACCATGGCCCCTCAGGAGTCCCAGGAGACCTGCCAGGTGGGGGTCCCAATAGGCTGGAGCTCAGGTAGCTTGGCTAGTTCAGAGGGATGGGTCAGGATGGGTCTCACAGGCCTCCTGGGCTTCCATCTGGACCAGTGTAGCTGACAGTGGTTTCCAGCAGCTACATTTGGCGGTAATGAGGGGCACTGAGGCTCAGAGACCCCCATTCTGGAGGGACAAGGTCCTGGGGACAGATTTGGGAAGGCACAGGCCTTCCCTGAGCCCCAGCATTAACATGAGGTCAAAGACAGGCTGCCAACAGCACTCCGAATCCAGTGCTGACCTGGGAACAGGTTTTGGTTAAGGAGTTGTTTTTGTGTTTATATTTGTTGTCCTGGTATTGAATCTCGGGCCTGGAGCATGCCAGGCAAGTACTCTACCACTGAATTACATGCCTGCTTTGGCTTAAAAGGCTGCTCTGAACACTGAGATGCCTGTCAGGAGGAGGTGTCATGTGGTGGGGGTCTGCACCTACCTCCAGGGCCTAGGTGGACTGGAGGAGACTCCCCACATTCCAGCTTGGGCAGAGGCTCCACTGTGAGCTTGGCCTCTAGGGCAGTCCTAGGCCCAGGATCAACAAACGATCATACAATAGAGTCACCTCGCTGACGAGCCACATCCTACCCCTTCTCCTGTTTATGGCTAACTGAACTCTCTCACAGCCTAGGGAGAAGAGTTCAAATCCTGGTCTTCCAGATGAGAAAATGGGGGCCCAGAGAGGCTGAGTGAGTAGGGCATGTTGTAAGTGCCCTGGCCAGAGTGGCCTGGGCAAGGCCTTCAGCACCCTGTTCACACTTTGCTTGACGCAGCCTGGAGTGCGGACCAGGCTGGCCTTGTCTTAGGAGGCCCCTCTTACAGGAAGCCTTGTCTAATTGCTCTATCCTCTGAACCTTGCCCACCCCATAGCCACAGGATGAGGGTAGATGTGCAAAGGCGGATCCCCCACTGGGACTCTGCAGCCTCAGCCGAGGGATATCTCACCTGGGATGGGAGCAGGTGCTAGACCAAGTGGGTAGGTACAGGGAGTCCTGGGAGACCATGAGGGTCGGTTGGGATTTTCTAGGCAGATACAGCTGTGCAGTGTTTTCTGGAGCAGGGCCTTGCCAGTGGCTTCTGCTCAGCCTTTCCTCCAACTTGTCCTGTCTGCCTGTCTGTCCACCTTCCCATCTCCTTGCTCCAGGGCTTCAACTTTCCACCCTGGGCCAGGCCATTTGTGATAGTTCAGAGCCATCACCTACCCTGCACAATGGCCATGGGGGTCCTCCTCTGATGTCAACCCATGGTTGGTGTACTGGTGTTAACTATACCATGCGGCACTTGGCACTCAGCTGAAGTCTGGCAGAGCCTGTGATACCAGGGTGCATTCTTTTGATCCCACTGGTTTGTCCTTTGGGAGGTAGGCTGGGTCATGGAGGTTGCAGAGGAGCATCGCCCCTGGTGGTGACCCATCTGCAGCTCCTGTGCCCTGGAGGGTGCTGGCCATGGTATCAGTCATGGCTTTTCTTCATGCTCCAGCAGGGCCACACCTGCCCTGGGGGATTTGCTGCTTTCTCTTTATAATCTTTCTCTTTCTCTCTGTCTCTGTCTCTCTGTCTCTCTGTCTCTCTGTCTCTGTGTGTGTGTGTGTGTGTGGTGTGTGTGTGTGTGTGTGTGTGTGTATGTATGTATGTATGTGAGTACAGGTGTGCGTGGAGATCAGAAGACAACCTTGTCAGGGTTAGTCCTTGCCTTGCCTCTTCCACCTTGTTTGAGATAGTCCTGTACATTCCACTGTTGTGTACATGGCAAGCTGGCCCATAAGCTTCTGAGGAGTTTCCTGTCCCCACCTCCCATGTCACTGTAGAAACTTGGGACTGTGAGCCACCATGTCTGGCTTTATGTGGGCTCTGGGGATCAAAGCTCAGGTCTTCACACCTGTGCAACACGCTACCCACTGAGTTCACTCTCCAGCTCCTCCCCCAGAATGGCTTTTAAAACAGGTCTCTTGTACCAGGCTGGCCTCCAACTCGTTATGTAGCCGAGGATGTCCTTGAACTTGGGATCTTCTTGCTTCTAACTTCTGAGTGCTGGGATTACGGGTGTGCAGCATGCACCACCACATGAAGGTTTTTTGGGGTGTTTGCTTGCTTGAATGTACTGCTAGTGTTGGAACCCAGTGGTTCTACGCATGCTAAGCTGAGCTGCATCCCCAGCCTTATTTCCTCTTCAAAATGGGAAAATCTGCCTTTGGTGGCTTACAGAAGCTGCTGGCCTGGACTCTGAGAGACAATGGCTTTCCTGGACGAAGACAGCCCCCTTATTCAGGCACTGTGCCAAGGTCTGGTGTGTGCCTGTGAGTGCTGAACTTCCTGAGGGAAGCCTTTTGGGAAGTCTTGATATATCCCCGCCTGAGGTCTGGCAGGGAAGGACCCCTGAGGACCACAAAGGTAGGAGGTTAGCCCAGCCCTGCTCCCTATAGGTCACAAGCTGCTGAGCGCATGCCTTAGGGCCCAGGTGCAGACACACTGGTGACAGGACTCAGCAGTGCCTCTGTGTGGTGATGACAGGCATGACAGCTGTTGAACTGGCTTCGGAGTTTGCTGCCAGAGAAGTGAGCTCCCAGTGCCTGGGTCTGCAGAGACATCCCTCCAGATCACCACTATGACTAGGTCTGTGCTGAGTGAGGAACATCCTGAGGCTAAGGAAACAGGAAAAGACCTGTATCTCTCCATGGAAAGACAAAGAAGCATGTGAGTGGCCATTGAGGGCTCAATGGGCGTGGGCACAGCCTCCCCCCAATCTACTCCAAGCTCCCCTTTTGCAGATTGGGAAACTGAGGCACAGGAAGCAGAAGCTCAGGGCCTCATGGTTCTGACTTCCATGTAGTCTTTACCAAGATCTAGTGGGCAGTAGCTTCTGGTCTGGCCCATCATGGCAGCTGTAGTCCAACCCAGAGGCACAGACAGTCCAGGAGACATATTGTAGTGGGGAGGGACTGAGCAGGAGTCACGTGACCTCAGAGGGAATGTTGGCTTTGTGATGTTTCTCCAGTGAGCACTGGGACTCTGGGCACCTAGGTTGTAGGCCAACATGAAGAGAGGCTCTTCTAGGGACCCTGGTTGAAAGCTGCTATACATAGCAATGCTTCTAACTGGGAGTGGCCTTCTGGGGACTGGGTATATGACCCAACTTCTGGTCCCTACTAAGAACCCCCAAAGCCCTTACTACTGGTTTCTCATTGCCTATTGGGTGAGAAAGGGCAGCAGCCATGACCTTAAGGTCTACAGTGGGTCCTGCTAAGCAGCCATGGGATCGAGATCTGCCAGATTCAGCAAGGAAGGGTCAAGGGTACCCCACATCAGACATACTTGTGGTCACTCTCAAGATTGGTCACTGAACATTTATTCTTAATCCTAGACCCTAGCTGCAGCTAGGGTGCTGTGGCCATGGTGTGGTGGATAGGTGAGGCCCAGAAGGCTCCCAGGAAAGGACCCAAAGGCTGACATGACAGTCTATGGCTATGTGGAAGCCAGGCAGGTGGTGACGCAGCAGAAGCTCCAGCCAGGAGCCCATAGAGCAGAAGCAGCATCCACCCTAGTCTTGGAGAGATGGGCATGCATAGAGGGTGCCTTTGTAGATGCCCCAACACATTCCCATGCACTGGGGCCAAACACTGGATGCAGGAGAGGAGATGAGGCCCTGGTAGAGTTCAGCAAAGGCAAAGGCACATGACAGTGGCAGGGAGCAAGAGGCAGGTTGGGCGCTGCAGGTGATTGAGTCCGGCTAGGTTCATGCCAGGATGGCCCTTCTCAGGCACCGTGGGGCCCAGGAGGATCCTGGCTCCGCCCCTCCTGGCTAAGGGCTTGGGCAAGCCTGGGGTGAAGCTTAGGAGGCAGGAAGCTGTTCCAAGAGGAAAAGCCCTAGCTTTCCCTGGAAGAATGATGGAAGACTTGCCTACTGGACATCTGTCCCACAGCCCGAGTGCCCCGTCCTCGAGCAATCGTGGCTGCCTAGCTGCTGAGTGGAGCAGCTCTCAATCCCCAAAGCCCAGCGGCCCTCAGTTGTCTGGCTCCAGTGTCCACTCTGACAACCACTGCAGGCACGATGCTCGCTGTGCCTCAGTCTCAGGAGGGGGCCGTCCTGGCCTGGGCGGCGGGGGGGAGGGGCTGCAGGGCCTCTGCCCTCCATCCATAGGGTTGGGGTCAGGGTCAGTCTGCAGGGCCTGGATGAGCTGTTCAAGGGGTTGAACGCAGGTACGGGGACTCCAGCAGGCGTCAAGGGCAGGCAGGAAGGGGTCGGGTGTACAGGCCTCCACGCACTCAGCCTGTGTGGGGATGCGCAGGTAGAAGGCGTGCAGCATCATGCGGAAAGGTTGGTCCTCCTGGTCCTCAGCCTGTCCGTAAGTCAGGTCACCCACGATAGGGTGGCCAAGGGCACTGCAGTGTACTCGAAGCTGGTGCGTCCGGCCTGTGGGGTCAGGGGAGGGATGGGAGGTCAGGCTGGGATAAACCATTCTTTGTTCCAGCCCTACCTCGTTCTTACAGTACCCAGCAAGTTCCCTGGGGGTGTCTTTGGAGCATCATGGCAGCCCCTTGCATTTTTTTTTTTTTTTTTTTTTTTTTACAGTGCTAGGGTTTGAATCCAGGGCCTTGTTCATGCTGGGCAAATATTCTACAGCTGCACTGTACCCCCCAACTCTCTTTTTTTTCTCCCCTTAAAAAATGTTTTTAAGGACATTTTGACTTTGTGTGCCTGTGTTCCTGCGTGTGCTCGCATGATGCTACAGCGTACAAACGGAGTCAGAAGACAACTCCTAAGACCCTCTTCTCTCCTTGCGCCGTGTGGGTCGGGGGGGCAAACTCGGACTGTCAGGCTTGGCGGCAAGCACCTTCGTCAGCTGAGCCATCTCGCCGGCCCCTTTTCTTTTTTTCTTGAGACAAAAATCTCATATAGCCCAGTGGCCTTGACCTCTTTATGTAGCCAAGGATGGGCATGAACTTCTGGTCTCCCCTGCCTCGACCTCCAGCGTGCTAGAATTACGTTTATGCCACCACGCCTTGTTTACCCCATCTTCTTTTTTATAGCGAGAACCTCCTGCCGGATGGTGGCGGCGGCAGCGCACGCCTTTAGTCCCAGCACTCGGGAAGCAGAAGCAGGTGGATCTTTGTGAGTTCAAGGCCAGCCTGGTCTATAAAGCGAGTTCCAGGACAGCCAGGACTACACAGAGAAATCTTGTCTCGAAAAACAAAACAAAACAAAAAAAAAGAAAAAAGGAAAGAAACACTCTGATGAGTAACCACTCTACAGATCTGTGCCACCATGAAGGGTGGGGCAGGGTGGGGGCAGGCCCTTGGTACGGGATGCATCATATCCCTTCCTATAAATCAGATGTTGGGACTCAGGACTTGAGATTGGACTGGGGTGGCCACTGGTGAGAACACAGCCATCGGGACACTTGGTCTAGCTAGCGAGCTCAGTTAAACCTTCAGGGTACATGCAGGAGCCAGCAAAGATTGCTGGGCCCTGACCACTGTTCCTTGGGTAGCTGTTGCCTTGCTTGCTGACCTTGATCAGATGTCCTCTCTATGCTGATTCCCTGTCGGTTTCCTTCCTCCTGAACAGTTTACCGGAGCTTCCCTGTTTGTGTATCCTGCATTTGGTGTAAACAGCTAGGATGCAAGTATGTAAAACATCTGTAGCGAACTTCTGCCCTCCGGGGTTCTCCCACTGTGCCGTAAGCCTGTATTTAAGGCCTCTTCCCTCCTTCAATAAACGGCATCAGCATTCTACTGAGACGAATGACCCGCTGTCTTGTCTCTGTTTTTAATCCGCAGCCCCTCGT